AAAAGCACTGGCTGAAGCTTTATGTAAAAATACCACCTTAACGAATTTAAATTTAGATTGGAATAACCTTGGTGAATCAGGAGGAAAAGCACTGGCTGAAGCTTTATGTAAAAATACCACCTTAGCGAATTTAGATTTAGGTGATAATAAAATAAGTGAATCAGGAGGAAAAGCACTGGCTGAAGCTTTGTGTAAAAATGCCACCTTAACGAATTTAAATTTATATAGTAATGGTATAGGTGCATCAGGAGGAAAAGCATTGGCTGAAGCTTTATGTAAAAATACCACCTTAATGAATTTAAATTTTCGTTACAATAGTCTTGGTGGATCAGGAGGAAAAGCACTGGCTCAAGCTTTATGCAAAAATATCGCCTTAACTAGTTTAGATTTAAGTAGGAATAAATTAGATGAATCAGCAGGAAAAGCACTAGCTAAGGCTTTATGCAAAAATACCATCTTAACTAACTTAGATTTAAGTTCGAATAATCTTGGTGAATCAGGAGGAAAAGCACTGGCTGAAGCTTTATGTAAAAATACCACCTTAACTAATTTAGATTTACGATGGAATAATCTTGGTGAATCGGCAAAAGAAGCGCTAAATGAAGTAAAAATAATTAAATGTGACTGTTTAGTTTTGTATAAAAAATAATAAAATTATTAAAGCATCTACTGTATTTTGTGTCGGTGAATTTGTAATAGCCTACGTTCCTTTACAAAAAATTTATAACTGACTATCGTCTATAATTGATTTGTCAAATTATTTACTTATGATAAAGGATAAACCAGTGCGAACGTACGTATTATAACTTAACATAAATAGAAAATTCTATTTCGAAAACACCAAAACTATTATTAGCCATTTTCAAATGACAGTTAATTAAAAATTGATGTACGTGAGTTTAAGATTTATACTGATTAAAATGTAATGTACGTCAGTTTATTGAATAAACAAAAAGGTTCTTTATAACATGGCATTGAATATATAATTAGTTTTCCACTTTTTTCTCATCATTGTGCAATGCGCACATGCTCAAATATCAAATAAATATAACCAACACAAAGATTATAATGCTCAGTAGCTTTTGATTCAAATTTGAAATCGTTATTATAACCTATAGGACCACAAATGGCTTCTATTATTTTTTGATTTGCTTCTCCATTTCCAAAATTTTGAGTCTTTTGACCATCTGACATAACGAATTGAATGCCACTAACAACTCGTTCACGATAATGAACATTCACACCAACTACATAATTATACTTCTCATCAAGACCTCGAATAGTAAACGCATCTCCTCCCTCTTCATTTCCGGTAGGGGTTCCAATCTGATTTTATATTTAACCTAAGAAAAACCACAATGGACATTTATGCCAGTAATGACATCAGGCTCATCAGGACCATGTTTACCGTTTGGAAAAATATCTTTTCCATAAATTCCATAATATATTGTACCAATTGTTTGATCTGGAGCGATTGTAGACGTATTCGAATTATTAGGCAAGAATTTGTTAAAGCAAATTTATACAAATACATTTTCATAAATTCTGCATTTGCTTCATTGAAATATGGTGCTTTTACTCGATCACACATTGCTGTGTATCTTTCTATTGCTTCATTGTTAATTTCAGTGTTTACGTAAGTAACAGCTTTATCAAGAAAGTTATCATAAACTTCGTAAGTAATATCTTTATTCATCTTTACTTAGATACAATCTTTGCGCCAATTTCACATTTAAAATCTATTTCTATAAACCATTTTTTATAACCTTCGACATTTCTAGTAGGTACAAGCTCTTTAGTGATAGAAGATCCGGGTTTGATTTTTAAATTTGGTCGTTCTTGTAGTGTGTTTAGGTTAGTCAATCGTAAATCAAAATTTTGATTTATATATTGTAGATTCTTTAATGAGTTCGGGTTTATTAATAATAAATATCACATTTATCCCACTTTGCACGTATTTACCTATTCTTTAAAGTATACGTGATAAATTCTTTTATAAATATTTATTAGTTTGCAAGCTTCTTTATGAAGTTTTTTTTCGTTTTCTAAAGTTTTATAATGATAAGTCTTCTTAAAAATTATGTATTTTGATGCAAATTACGGGTAAATCTACAAAAATTAACCAATCATATTAATGTCTTTCTATCAGCCCAAATAAGAGCCCATAATGAAAATAATTACAGATAGAAGCCTGATATTTGAATATTATTACTAATAAGGACCCAAAATTATTAGAACTTATGATATAAGCCCCGTTTCGATGATTTGTATATGATTGTAATACAGTAATATAGTCATTAATTGTTAACGCATAAAAAATGTAATAATAATCCTTATAACAAAACCATATCAAATTAAAATTCCCGATTGGTGTGATTTTTACTAACATGAAAATGCTCATTTGGCCTTGGACAGTTATTTTGTTGAATTTTCTTTTTATAAGTTCAGAACGAACAAACAAAATAAACTGTTGGCTAATTGTTTTACAAATGAAACCAGCGCATGCCCTTTTACTATTTCAGTTGATAAGCGCAAAGTGGCTATATTCATATAGTAAGGTTAATTCCTCATGATCCAACTTGTTTAACTTGTTTAACTTATATGGAAGCATTCAAAGCGCGTAGATCGTACCTTGTAAAGTTTACTGCGCCATTAGTTAAAGACATAGCAGGACTTCGACCTCGTGATATTATACATCGTGTTCGTTCTGAAGTGTGGGCTGAGATATCGTGCACTGTAGCTTTGATAAGTAAAGCTATTAGGTCACACATAGTTAATTTTTCTTTTTGCATTGCAAGATTTCAAAAATCTGTCAGTCGGCTGGATTTTGGTTTTTAATTCTGAATAATGAGCTGTAACTCTAAAACATCCATTTAATCACGAAATGAAGCAATTAATCATGATACCTTTACATTTAAATCAGCTAGTAATTTTGACGGTATATCTGGGTCCTTATTTGTAATAATTTTTAACTTTTAGGCCTTTATCTGTAATTATTTTCATTTTGAGCCCTTATTTGTAATTATTTTCATTTTTGGCCTTTATCTGTAAATTCCTCTTAAAAATAATATTTTGTTTGAACTTTCATTTTGACTTTGACTTTAACTTTAATTTTCACTTTGACTTTAATTTTCACTTTGACTTTCACTTTGACATTCGTTTTGCGTTTGTTTTAACTTTTGGTTTGACTTCCATTTTGACTTTCACTTTGATTTTCGTTTTACTTTCGCTTTGATTTCGAGAATATTCACTGTATTGAATTCACAAAATAAAGTGCGTCGTATTTTTACAAGCAAAACATAATAACTCGAATCAAACACAATAATTAGTTACATCGCTAAAAATTGTATAGAGTTATTCAGTGCCTCTTATCATTCGTGTTAATTTGGATGGTGAGTATAAAAGAACTTTTAATTAGTTAAAATAAGTGATTCAACTTTGTGAGCATTTACTTATTTGATTTGCATTAATTTAGTTAATTGAGTGAGCATACACTTGTTCGCATTAATTTATTGTATAAATTTCTTTATAAATAACTATCATTATATAGTAATGCTCATATCATTTTGTTTAGTTCCTGTCGTTAAGTAGAAAGATTAAGGCTAAGGCATTTGTACAATGTCGAAAAATTATTATCAACGAACTTAAAACACGATCATTTTGGTCGGGAATTAATGAAATGAAAATTCAGAAATTCGAACTAGATAATATATTTAAGCTAAATATTGTTTTAAGGAAATGACTAGTAAGTTCCCAGAATTGATTCTGGACAATATACGTATATGATTTTGTTTTATTAGCGTTAATTCAGTTGAGTTTAAAGATCTTGATCAATCGTTTAAATAAGCTCTTAAAGTTCGTGATTCTGTTTCTTATTTATTCTTGCTAATTTAGCGAGTAAATACAAGCTTTAGTATTTAAAATAAATTATAGTTACATAATGCTACTCATATTTTTTAGTTCGCATTAACTTAATTATGTATAAAGATCTTTTAACCAATGCATTAAAGTTCGTGAATTCATAAGATTTGACATTCTATGTAATTTAACTTGTAATTAGTGTATCAAAAAGTAAGCTACTTTATAGTGCGTAAAGTTTCTATGAATTTAAGATAAACTATTTAGGTCGCCTTATTTTAATTATCCCTTAAACCGTTTCTCCTACAAATTTGCCCTGAAATTTTTTTGAAAATAAAATTTTTAAAATAAAATTCTAA